ATGGAGAGATAAGTAGATGGATGGGTGGATGGAAGGGTGGATGGATGATGGATGGATGGATGGGTGGGTGGATGGTGGATGGATGGGTGGATGGATGGGCAGATGGATGATGGATAGATGGATGGATGGGTGGGTGGATGGTGGATGGATGGATGGGCATGTGGGTGGATGGATGGAGAGATAAGTAGACGGATGGGTGGATGGAGAGATGAGTGGATGGATGGGTGGATGGGTGGGTGGGCGGGTGGACAGATTGATGGATGGATGAATGGGTGGTAGCTGTCAATATAAGCACTATCTCCATTATTGGGGGTCCTAGCTTCTCTTCCCTGAAGGAGTTTAGTACCTGTGCTGTCTCCATCCTTCTGGACCTTGATCTGTTTAGAAACAGAAGCCACGTCCCACTATTATTTTGCCCACAACAGAACCGGGTGCAGAGTAGGTGCTCAGGGAATATTTGGTGAAAAGTAAACAAACCCTTGCATTCTGAGCTGTATCAGCCCCGTAGATCTCCAGAGAGTTAGGACGTTTGGAATTCAGAAACCAGGGGCGAAATCCTGAATCTGCAGACGTTCTGGAGTCCAGAGCCTTGTGAAATTCTAAGCCTGTGGACTCAGCACCTGGCCCAGGGCCTGGCACCTAGGAGATGCCAATGAATATTAATGGGGTGGATAAGGGGACAGGGGACAGAGGGGAGGTAGGTATGCGTGGATAAGTGGGTGGATGGGTGGATGCAACACCAGAAGTCCAGTCACCTCAGCTCACTCCCAGAGCTCCCACCTCCACAGATCGGGGGGCTGCTCTGGGTCTCCCAACCCATCAAGGTTCCCTTTGCTGCTTTCTTGGGGAACAGCAGACCCCCAGAAGCTGGGCCCTGTATGGGGAGGGCCTGCCTGAGAAGAAAACATTTGTTCAAAGACCCAAAGCAGGTGAGGAGGGGAACTGTGTGATGATCTGGGGGAAGAGCATCCAGACAGAGAAAACAGCCAGTGCAAAGATCCTGGGGCAGAGTGGGTGTGATGGAGGTCCCCAGCTTTGCCACTTCACCTCCTTCTCTTTCTCCACCTCTGGTCCCCAGGATTACAGGAAGTTCTGGGCGGGCCTGCGAGGTCTCACCCTCTATTTCTACAAAAGCAATCGGGACTCCCAGGTAAGGATGAGAAGAGAGCTCAAGAGCTGGCCTGCCCTTGACCTCAGGGCCCAGGCAGAGGGTGTGGGTGGTGTGGCTGAGCCAGGGAGCTTGAGAGGCCACAGGCCTGGTGCTCAGATCCCCGCTCCTGTGCCCCCAGCACGTGGAGAAGCTAGACCTGGGAACATTCGTGAAGTTCATGGATGAGGCCCCCTGGGGGAGCGCCCAAGATCCTGGCATCCACTTCAGCCTGGTCCTCCGGAACCAGGAGGTCAAGTTCAAGGTAGGAACGTTGGTGGGGCTGGTGGGAGACCCTCCCTCCCCGTCCTGCCCACCATCAGCACACACTGGCATGGAGTCAGAGTCCACTACTGGGCTGGAGACACCAGGCAAGTCACTTAAGCTCTCTGGGCCTCAGTTTCCTCAGCTGCAAAGTGGGACAATATGTCTAAAGTGCCCAGGACAAGATCTGACCCACGAGGATCATCACTGCTATCATTCAGTCTTTCAGTGAAAATGATTGAGCCCCTACTGTGTGCCAGACACTCTTCTAGTTGCACAGCCCTGAACAAGACAGTCCCTGCCCTTGTGGAGTTTACAGTCCAGTGGCGGAAGCACATGATAAACAATATCAATATGTAAAATCTATGGAGGGTCATTTGGTGGTCGATGCTAGGGCGACAAGCACCAGGGAAGGGAGAAAGGGGGATCAGGATCGCAATGTCAAATGGTGTGATCAGGGAAGGCCTTACTGAGGGCCCGAAGGAGGTGAGGGAGCCAGGGCGGTAGATATCTGTGAAACAGCTCTTCAGCAGAGGGCATAGCATGTGTAAAGGTCCTGGGGCAGGACCGTGCCTGGCGTGTGGGAGGAACCTCAAGGAGGCCTGTGAGGCTGGAGCAGAGGGAGCCAGTGGGAGAGAGGGAGGAGGCAGGGCAGGGAGGGGACAGGGGCAGGTCATGTAGTGCCTTGTGGGCCACAAGGAGGACTTGGACTTTGACCCTGAGGGAGGGGGCAGCCCTGGGATGGTTTAGAGCATAGGAGATACATGATCTATGTTTTTAAAAATGTTGATGTAATAACATTCAAGAATTGCCGGAGTCCCGCCCCGGCTGAGTCCAGGTTCCTGAGGGATGGACGGCGTCGGCGCAATAAGGGGAAAATAAAGAGGACATGAGACTTGGGTTGGTGTTAGCAAGTCCAACTTTACTGTGCACAAGTGTCGTTTATATATTTTTCAGGATTAGTACAGAAATGGTTCTACAAATATTCTCAGAGAGATAAGGAAGTAAAAAAGGAGCACAAGAACATTTATTAGCATTCTATTCTATAGAGCATAAGGTTAATGGCAGTCTTCTCCACAATTAACTAGTATTTGTTGTCTCTAAACTAAAGGAGATAGGTACCTAGGCACCTGTTGTAATTCACGGTAAAGTTAAATCAAAGAGAGAAGGTCCAGGCCTCCGGACAGGACAGCAGCCCGTCTGGTTACATCCTGGTGGAGCCATCCCTGCCTCCCTCAATCATTTACGCCATTAGTGTAGATGGTTAATGGGAACAAAAGGCGACTCCAGGGTGTCTTATCCCCAGGGCTATCTGCATTCTCAGTGGGCAGTTAAACATCTTTACATTTTCGCGCCCTTTAGGGGGTGAAAGCATTCCTTTGTCTTTTAGATTGTGGAGCTAACAGTCCCTTAAACACACTGCCGGAGAAAGTACCATTTTGTTAGTAAAGTAAAGGGCTGAAAAGCTAAGCTAAACTATATATCTTCAAGAGTAAAAAACAGAAATAAGTATAGACACAACCTTGATAGAAAGCATGAATATAATTCAGAAAATATCAGGGGTGTCGGCCGGCCATTCTTCACCGAGGGGCATCCCTGCACCCCTCGGCCCTTCTCCTCATCAATTGTTTATTATTTATTGCTTTTAGGAGAAAACCTCTATAACATTTTAACAGAAAGCAGAAGGTCAAGAATAATATGTTGATACTTCTTGATCATCCAATTAACCAGCAAACTTAGAAGGACGATGCATATATGTTTAGACAAAGAACTGGAAGGAGAAGGAAGCATTAACCAGATGGAGGCCATAAACCTAATTCGACATCTTATCTGGGCAGATTCCTTTCTGCTTGTCTCAAATGGGACTGTGTGCTCCTCCGTTAATTAACTGAAAAATATCTTGAAAGTTACCTGCAGGTGGTCACATTCTCTTACTATATCTAATTTTCCCGGGAGGTAGTGCCTCCCAAGCAGCCACCCAAAGGAGTGAAAACTGGAGGTTAAGAAAGGAAAAGGAATGAAGGGCAATTAGAAGCAGCACAGGTTTCAAAACTATGTGAGGGGCCGGCCGGTTATTCTTCACCAAGGGGCGACCCTGCACCCCTCGGCGTTAATCGGCTGGACCCTGTCAAACAGCCGATCAAATGATGTAGCCACGGCTCCCGGCAAAGAATAATAATATTACGAAGGACTTATATGCAGACAGCATCTTAAATTAACCCGTCCTAACTCATTGAATCTTTAAAACAGTCCTTGGAAACAGAGGCTATTACTCCTCGCCCCCATTTCACAGATGGATAGACTGAGGCTCATCCACGTGGACTCTTTCTTTCCCGCCCTAGGTGGAGAGCCTGGAGTCTCGCGAGATGTGGAAAGGCTTCATCCTCACGGTGTTGGAGGTGAGAGTGGTCTCCCCCGGACTCCCCCTGGGCCTCCTCAGAAATCCCCTTTTTTCTTTCCATCCTTCATTCCCCCAAACAAGCCTCTGAATTACAGCGCACTGCTCTCAAACCGGCCGCCTACAAGCCAAATTTAGCCCATAAACATCTTCTGTTTTGCCAACAAAGTGCTAAAAAATTTAAAGTTAGCTGCCAGCACTTAAGAACCAGGAGTTTTAGTCAACGTTCCTGATTTCTATTTTGACTCATTTGTTCCCTGTCCGGCCGCTGCCGGCCATCGCGTCTGGCATCTTCCTGGCCCCTGCAGGCCGTGACTTTGAGACCCCACCTTCTAGCATCTGCTTTGTCCCCCACCCCATCACCGAAGTCCCTCTCCGCATCCTCTCGACAACCTCTTTGCTCTGTGAGGTGTAGGGCGGCTCTGGAGCCCCCGGATCCGGGTTTCCATCCATCCGGGCTCCGTCCGCCCTCTGGTCTCAGTTGGCCCTCTGTGACATGGGCGCAGCCGCCCGTTCCCTGACGGCCGGGCGCGGTCTCTGTGCCCCGATCGCCCCTCAGCTCCGTGTCCCGTCCAACCTGACCCTGCTGCCCGGACACCTGTACATGATGGCCGAGGCCCTGGCCAAAGAGGAGGCGCGCCGCGCGCTCGAGGCGCCCTCGTGAGTGCCCCGCCTGGCCGAGGGGCTCCAGGATGGGGGCGGGGTGCAGGGCGTGGCGTTGGGTCTTGAGTTGCGTACAGGGCTGCAGCCGGCCGGGGGCGAGGATTAGGTCCTGTATTGGGAGCCCGATTGGGGGATTGGGGGCCGGGACAAGCTGGCGGGGGACGGGTCTGGGTCACCAGGAGTCGGTCTGGGTCTTTAGGGGCGGGTCGTGGTGTCTGGGGGAGGGTGTGGGTCTCCAGGGGCGGGTGTAGGTGCCTGGGGGCGGGTCTGGGTGTCAGGGCGGGCCTAGATGTCTGGAGGCGGGTCTGGGTCTCTACAGGCGGGTGTAGGTGCCTGGGAGCGGGGCACGATTTCCGGGGACGGGTTTAGGGGCCTCGGAGGCGGGCCTGCGGCTCCGGGGGCCGGGTTACGTGTCTGGAGGACAGGGCTGAGCCTCCGGAGGCAGAGTCTGGCCTAGGGGACGAGGCAGGGTCTCCAGGAGTGTGCCCGGGGCGAGGCTATGTGCGGGTGGGCGGGGCTAGGTGTCCGGGGGGCGGGGCTATGTGCAGGTGGGCGGGACTGGGGTGTCCGGGGGCGGGGCTATGTGCAGGTGGGCGGGACTGGGTGTCCGGGGGCGGGGCTATGTGCGGGCGGGCGGGACTGACTGCCCGGGGGTGCGGCTATGTGCGGGTAGGCGGGCCTAGGTGTCCGGGGGCGGGGCTATGTGCCGGTGGGTGGGGCTGGGTGCCCGGGGCGGGGCGTGGCTGGGGGCGTGGCTGGGCCCAGGGGCGTGGTTACGTGCGGGAGGACGGGCAGGGCCTCTGGGGGCGGGGCCTGTCCTGAGTGAAGGGCGCGGCCCCGCCGCCAGGTGCTTCATGAAGGTGAGCCGGGTGGAGGCGCAGCTGCTCCTGGAGCGCTACCCCGAGTGCGGGAACCTGCTGCTGCGGCCCAGCGGGGACGGCGCGGCCGGAGTGTCGGTCACCACGCGCCAGATGCTCAACGGGTGCGCATGCGCGGCTCCGGAACCGGGGGTGGGAGGAGGGTCAGGCACGGGGGCGTGGTCAGAGGTGGGGGAGGGTAGTCAGGGTTAGGGGCGGGGCCAGGTCGAAGGTGGAGTCAGAATCCCGGAGCGGAGCCCGCACGAGGGGCGGGGCCTTCCCTGGGGGTGCAGTCCATCGGGGCATGGTCCTCCCAGGGGTCAGTGCCAGGACTAGGAGAGGGGTCTTTCCTGGGGGTGGAGGCAGAGCCTGGTCCCCGCTCCTAGAGAGCCACGCCAGGAGGGGCCGTGGTCAGTGTGCAGGGGAGCTGGAGGGGGTTAGGACCCCCACGGGGCGGGGCCAGGGCGAGGGGCGGGGCCTTCCTTGTCCTGAGCCCGGCCACCCACTCGCCCGCTGCCTGTGCAGGACGCCGGTGATCCGGCACTACAAGGTGAAGCACGAGGGCCCCAAGTACGTGATCGACGTGGAGGAGCCGGTGAGCGTTGGGCCAGGGTCCTGGGAAGCGCGCTGACTGGGTCCACGCCCCTCCCCCACCCGCCCTGACCGCGCCCCCTACCCGCCCCCAGTTCTCTTGCGCCTCGCTGGACTCAGTGGTTGACTATTTCGTGTCGAACACCAAGAAGGCGCTGGTGCCCTTCCTGCTGGATGACGACTACGAGAAGGTGCTAGGTGGGTGCGGCCTCAGGGAACTCGGGGGGTCTAGTCCGCGCCTCTCTAGTCCGCGCCCCGTCGGGGACACCCCTGGAGCAGTCCCTGGCCGCCGCGCCTCCTCCAGGCCGCCCTCTCTGTTCCAGGCTACGTGGAGGCAGATAAAGAGAACGGCGAGAGTGTGTGGGTGGCGCCCTCGGCCCCCGCGGCCCCCAGCCCAGGTGACACCCCCTTCCCACGGCCGCCCCTGGGGCAGAGGGGAGAGAGACCTGGGACCTACATGGCGCCGCTTGTGCCCAGTCCTGCACACAGACTTGCAGGCACCCAGAAATTCCCCAGACCGTGCCCTCTAGGGCTTTCCAGGTTGTGGCAGAGCTGGACACAGACCCTCCCAGCCCTGTAGGGCCGCCCCTGGGGAGCCTGGAGTTGGGGAGAAGTGAGGGGGCAGAGTGGGGGCAGGGCTGCCTGGAGGAGGAGGTGTTTGCTGAAGGTCTCAAAGGATTTCAGGATGCAGAGGTGTGCGATGAGGAGTCCGAGGCTGTCCCAGGAGCAAGATGGGAAATGAGGGTGGGCGCTGGGAAAGGGGCAGAAGGAAAGCTGGAAAGGTCTGTGGGGCGAGCGGCAAGGTCCTCCGAGGGCTAGGCAGATGTGGGGCGCCCCCTGTGCACGATGGGCGTGCACAGCCACGTCCATACACACGTGCACACTCACGGACGCCAACTGTGTCCAGCTGCATTATCAGAAGCTCCTATGCAGACAGCTTTATCGACAAGGGCTCCACGCATTCATGAATACAAGTGTCACACACTTTCGGTCCCGTGCAGCCACATGCAGACCTTAAGCCACAATCAGGTGTGTGCACACAAATACAGACGCATTCGCCCACAAGCACAAATTCTATTTATAGATACACGCGTGTGCACACCGGTATAGACCAGTACTGAAGTGTATGACCAAGCATCCTTGCCTTGTCGTGTGTATACACACATTAGGCGTGTGTGACAAAATTTTTCCATATATCCAACTTACGCAAATTCACCCAGTGGATGTGTATGTGGCACAGGGACACTAACATGTGCACACATGGGCACGTGCGCAGACACCCACGCCTCTGTGTAGGCGTGCACACGTGCATTCCCGCTCACGGAGGCACACAGACCCCCGCCACCCCGAGGTGTCCCTGCACCACGCGGGCACCGACTGACTGCTGGGTCCCACCAGATCCTGCACCCCCGAAGCAGCCACCTCCTGCGCCCGTCAAGCCTGTGTCCGGCCAGGACAAGCGGCCCCCGCTGCCCGACCAGGATGAGAACTACGTGATCCCCATTGCAGATGCCCCCGCTGCCAACTACGTGAACGAGGATGGTGGGTGGGGGACCGGGGCTGGCCGAGAGACGGGGGCGGGAGGCGAACAGCCAGAGGTGACACGCCACGCCTTTGTCCACGCAGTGCTTCCCCCTGGTCGACCCGTCATCCTGAAGCCCAAGAGGTTGGCAAAGGTTCAGGCAAAGCCCCCAAAGCCACCTGTCATGCCCAAGCCAGGTAGGGGTACCTCCTCCCAGCCCCTCCCTCATCCAACGGAGGGCCAGCCTCAGCTGTCACCGCCTTCTCCTTCAGAGCCCAGAGGCCTGAACGGCGGCCCGGCCAGGAAGCCGGCAGGCAGCTCAGCGCAGGCTCTCTTCCCCACGACCGGTAAGGGGCCTGAGGGGTCGACGCAGGGTGGGCTTCCAAGGACCCCACACTCTGAGGGGCCCGGCGCTGGTTTAAGGCTCCGTCTTGAAACTCCTCGTGCCTTTTGGACACATTTTCGTTTGCCCCGGGCCCCGAATTCTGTGGCCGGTCCTGGGTGGATGTGGGGGGACGGGACGCACCGGGGATCCCAGCGCCGCTGAAGCCTCGGGTCCCTGCCCCCCCAGGGTTGGGAGATGTGACGGCAGAGCTGGAAGAGAAGCTGCAGAGGAGGCGGGCGCTGGAGCACTCGGCAGGACGTGCTGGGGACCAGCGGGCCCACCTCGGAGCCAAGCCGTCCTCCCAGAAATAAAAGCTCGCGTGACCCCTGGGCCTGTGCGTTTGGCTTGCTTGGAGGGGCCCGTTGGATGTCTGCCCATAGCTGACCCCATTGACCCCCAGGATCCTCAGCTCAGCAAAACCTGCTGTCTGACCCTGTAAGAAAAGCCCATTTCACAGCTGGGGCAATTGAGGACCAGAGAGGGCCGGGGCACACCCGGTGCCGCCCAGCCCAGAAGAACCAGCAACACGGCCTGGCCAGTGTTTGACCTTTATTAGGAGGCGGGTCAGGAGGAGGGCCCGGCCCGGGGCTCCTCGTTCGTGACCCCAATCACGAGTTAAGGCTCCAAGCAGCAAGTGACAGGAGGGGCCCCTGCTGAAACGGCCGAGGCCTGGCGACCGACCCCAGACCAGCCCGGCTGGGTGGGCGTCCGGTGGCCTAGGTGAGGCTGGTGTTGGAGCTGCTGGTGGCACTGCCCCGCTTCTGCAGGCAGCGCACAGAGCTCGGGACTTGCAGGCCTGTCGTCACCTGGAAGCTGCCACACCACACCTGGGGGACAGGGAGGGGAGCAGGCAGGCTCAGACGCAGAGCCCTGCACCCGGCGCCCCCCGCTCCTGTCAGCCGGGCCGGGGGCCGGGGTCTCACCGTGAAGGCGGGCAGCAGTGGCTGCGTGAACTTGGCCTTGAAAGTGTGCAGGAGCTGCTTGGTGCGCGCGTTGTAGAAGGACAGGAGGCCTGGGGTGGAGGGCAGAGCGACAGGGGGACCGGTTAAGAGCAGTTTGCGGTCGAGAGATGAGGAGGGGCTGGCAGACGCCAGCTGGGGCCCGGGCTCACCTTGGTGGAAGTCGCAGTGCACGCCCAGGCTGTCGGGCACGGGCGCCTCCAGCACCTTGGCCTTGTTGGCGTGCTTGGCCGTGAAGCTGACCTGCAGCCAGTTGTTGACGTGCAGACACCAGGACGCGGCGGTCTTGCCCAGCTGGTCGAAGCGGCCCAGGCTGCGGTAGGCCACCCCCACGCCGAACGCCTTGCTGTCGGGCTCGTAGCGCACCTCCCAGTAATGCTCCCCGCCGTCGATCAGCGTGTCCCCTGGGTGGGGGGGAGCAGGGGAGACCATGTGGAATCGGGTCCCACCTGCCCTTCCACCAAGGGACAGCCGCCCAGATACTCCCCAGACCACAGCTATTCCCTCCAGATACTCCTCAGCCCCCAGCTATTCCCGCCAGGTACTCCCCAGGCTTCATTAACTCCCTCTAGACACTCACTAAGTCCAGGTGCTCTCCAAGCCTCAGCTAGTGCTTTCAGGTTCTCTCCAAGCCCAAGCTACTCCTTTCAGATACTGCCAGGCCTTCGAAACTTCCTCCAGTTCCTCCCCATATTCAGCTACTCCTCAGTTCTTCCCAGAGACCAGATAATCCCCAAACCCTTGCTGCTGCTCCTTGCTCCGACCCCAGGTATTCCCACAGGGCTCAAGTCCTACTAGAATCCAGGGCTCTGGGACTCCTTCCTGTTGCTGTCTGAGTGTAGATTCTATCCAGACCCCCAGCTCCTGGTGGAGGCCAGGTTCTTGCAGATCTCAGCTCATCCCTGAGTCCACATCCTCCCCAGGTCCCAGATCCAGATTCTTGCCACCTCAGCTACTCCCTGATCCCGCTATTCCTGAGCTCCAGCTTCTCTGCACACTCCCGCCCCAGCCAGATCGCAGCCCGTCTCCATCTAATATCTCAGCTCCTCCCCAGACACAGGGCTCACCCCGTGTCCATTGCTTCTCCAGGCCTGCTTCTCCCTGACCTCAGCTACTCCCCCCACCACAACTAGCCTAGGCTCCTCCCTTTCAAATCTCAGCCACTCTGCAGACACCCCCACACCCTCCCCTGCTTCTCTCCCAGACCCCAACTCTCGCCAGTCCCAGATGCTTTCCAGAAAGTCCGGATCCTCCATAGATTCTTACCTGCTCCTCAGCCCATAGCTTATCCCCAGAACGCAGCTACTCCCTAAGCCCACCCCCACCCCGATTACTGACCACACTGACTCTTTCCCACCTCAGTCTCTTTTTCAAGCTCTTTTCTGGACAGTAGCAGTTCCCCTAAACTCCAGTTCTGCCATGGACTCCAGCTTCTCCTTCACAGGATCTAGTCCCTCCTGCCGTGCTATCCGCTCCTCCAATCCTAGCCATTCTCTCAGCTTCTCCGACACCTGCTACTCTCCTTGGCTCCTCCACACGCCCTAAGCCATTTCCCCGAACCCCTGTCTTGCTTCAGCTCCTCCACAAACCCAGCTGCTCCACAGGCAATCGTCCTTCCCAGCTACTTCCCAAATCACAGCTACTCCCCAAGTCCCAGCTACTTCTCAGACCCCAGCTACTCCCCAGACCAGAGCATCCACACGCTCTGGTGCCCCCCAATAATCCTTCATCCCCCAATCTTCCCATTCCCCCAGCACCACATGTTACTGGGACCATTCCCAGAGAAGTTTTGTGGATGGCTGCCTCGGTTTCCCCGAAGGAGTTCTCTCTCACACACCCCCATCAGGGCCCTGCCCAGAGTTCCCCTCTCTCCTCCCATCTTCCCCGCTCCTTACCCAGCACCGTGTAGGACTCAGCTGTGAAGCGATCCCGTCCCCCGCGACCTGAGGGCATCCTCTTGGGGGATGGAGTACCTCTGTGGGTGGTAGGGAGGGATGTCCAGTTCAGCCCTCACCTCCCCATGGGAGGTCTTTCCTGGTCCACCCCAGCCACCATGGACTTGTCATCAGTCCTTGACAGTATTCGGTTCTTTTCATACACTGGGACTCTCATATCAGAACATGCCTGTGCCCTTCCTCATCTGGAACTCCTATTCAACCGTCAAAACCCAGTTCAAAGTCTCCTCTGGCTTCATTCACTCTTTGGGCTCCCTCCAGCTCCATGTCCTTCCCTCCACCCCAGCCTTGACCACGCTGGGCTCCATGGGAGGGGACAGGCTACCTGGCCGGCGAGTTGACGGGAGACGCCGTCCGCCCCTTGCCATCTTTCTCACGAGCCTTGATATCCTGCACCTTCCCGCCCATGGCGTCCCACTCGACGGCGAGATCCTCCACCCGCAGGTTCTGGTGGGATGTGGACGCATCCAGGCGGAACATGAAGGCTGGGGCCGGGCAGACGTGGGAGTCACAGAGATGGGGAAACCCAGAGAGACACGGAGAGAGACCGAGAGAGACAGACAGTGACCAAGACAGACCAGGACAGGGACAGGGAACAGAAAGAGACAGAGACTAAGACAGAGAGAAAGAGACAGACACACATAAAGACAACAGGCAGAAAGACGGAGAGAGGCAAGATGGGGGAGGGTGGAGGGGGAGGAACATGGAGCCGGAGGAATGAAGCCAAGGGCTCGTTGCCTAAAGGTCTCCCAGGTCTGGAGCCATTTTCAAGTCACTTGTGCTGCCCTGTGCTTCCGTTGGGGATTAACCCCAGGAAAAGGGCTGGGCTACAGCATGACGGCGTTAAGCTAGGCTGCAGAAGGACTTCCTATCAGGGCAGGCAAAGGGGTCACTGGGGGAGGGGAGAGAATCTGTCTTCACTGCTGATATCCCATGCCCAACTCGATAGAGCAGTTATTTTGGGGAAGAGAGAGAGAATGTACGTGTATGTGTGTCAAAACCATCCAGGTATAATGGGATCAACTGCAAAAGCAAAGGACGAAAGCAGGTTTCTACCAGACACTCAGGCTGAGGCATCTACTGTGGACTGAGCTCTGAGCTTCCCGGCAGCCAGGGCAAAAAGGGGCACTGAACCCTGATTAGAAGACTCTTATGACACACCAATCCCTGGGGCCCCGGGAGGGAGGGGCTGTGGAGTCACAGGCAGGGTAGGGGTGCGAGCCAGTCACCTGGTGTCTCCAGGGTCACCGGCTCGGAGAACTCGCCTGCAACTGCCTTATTACAGGCCTTCACACGGAAATTCATGTATTTCATGTCAAACTTGAGACCTAAAAGGCAACAGAGGGGTCTTAACACTGTGTACACTTTGAGCAATAGGTTAGAGGCCCCCGTGTCCCATGGTAATCCCGCTGCCCCTCATTCTAAGGAGCACCTTGCAAACGACATGTTATCCATGGGAAACCATCCTTGCCCTCATTCACGTGTTGGAGTATGGATAACTTGGCTCCGCCCCCAAGACAACTGGCCAATCAGAATGCTTTATGACTCAGTCACAGCGATTGGTTCGGGGATAGGCACATGACCCGAACTGGCCAATCAAAATCTTCCCTGGGACTTTGGCTGGTATTCTAACTTTCCTCTGGGCTAGCCAGCCAGGAGGCAGCCGCTCCCGGGAAAACGTGCCAGCACGTTTGCAAGTCTCCTTGAGAATGCAGACCCCAGAGCCACCGAGGGCGGGAACAGAGATGACCGAGTCATTGGCTGGAACCCCTGGATCTAGCCACGCCGGGTTAAAGATTTTCCCTCCTACTAGGATATATCCCGCCCTCCCTTTCTGTCCTTTTTTTTTTTTATTCATTTCTCCTAATCTTAAAAAATAAAAAGCAGCGATCAAGCTGTCTTCCCCCTCGAGCGAAACCTCTTTGGAGATCTGTCCACACGCTCTCTCTGCCGCCTCACTCCCTCTCCCTCCTCTGGGGTTGAAGTCCCCACCTTGCACTTCCTGGCTGCCCGCTCCCTCCCGCCTAGAACATTCTCTTTCCTTGGTGGCCACAGCACTGCCCTCTCCTGGCCGTTCCCTCTAGTGGCTCCCTTTTGGTCTCCTCTGCAGGTCCTCCCTCCCTGACACCCTTAAATGTCGGGGTGGCTCAGTCCACGACTCCCTCACATTGCTCACTGTCCCGTTCTCACCCGTCAGGCACCATCCATGCATCCACGGCACCCACACCCCAGCCTCTACCCAGACCACAGGTCCAGTTGCTGCCTGAGTGTTCCCCGTCGGATGCCCATTCTCTGGGCATCCCAAACAGCCCTTGGCAGCCCCTGCTCTAAAGCCTCCCATGGCTCCCCTTGTCCCCAGGAGGAAGTTTCAGTTCCTTCTCTCTCCCCTGCCTATAGATGTTCTCTCTGCAAACATAACTAGTTCCAGACATGAGGCTCAGCGCTCTGGCCTCTGAGCCCTTGATCAGGCTGTTCCTCTGCCTGGAAGGCTGGCGGTGCCCATCGAGACGGCCTCACGCTTCTTTGCAGCCCCTTCGCTGAGTCCAGCAGTTTGCTCCGCGGCGCCGCCTACTGTCCCAGAGCTAAGACGCCCCCTCAGAAGGCACGGATTCACAAACATGGAACCCCTCGGACATCCACGGCCTGGACTTACTCACTGCGTGCCTCAGTTTCCTATCCTGCCATCTGGCCATCATACTCCCCACACTGAGCCGGGTTCACATAAGACTGAGATGAGTGGAGGAACGGAAGTCATGAACAATGAACCCACACCCGCCCATCTTTCCAAAGTATCAACGAGAGAGCGAGTGGATTGCAATTAACCACATGGGACCTCTGGCTGGATTCAACTTCCGGCTCCGAGGAGGTCACCGCCCAGGAAGTTTTTAAAAGGCGAGAGGGTGTGGCTTTAAAGGGGATGCAACGGGCAGCCGGTGACAGAGCAGATCTACACCTTGATTGTGCGGGTGGTGACATGGTTTACACACGGGATAAAATGGTGAATGAGATCACACGCGCACACACAAGGGAGTGGGTGTAGAACTGATGAAATGTGCGTGAATGCTGCAGAGTGTACCCACGTGTGTGTCCTGGTTTCGATAGTGAACTATGGTTATGTAAGCTGCACCATTCAAGAAAGCTGGGTATATCCACACCCTGGAATATTACGCAGCCATGAAAAGGAAGGAGATCCTGACACCTGCTCCCACGTGGACGGACCTGGAGGACGTGATGCTCAGGGACGTGAGCCAGACACAGAGGGACACACACTGTGTGGTGCACTCACAGGAGGTCCCCAGAGGAGCCACATCCACAGAGACAGAATTTGGATGGGGGGCCAGGGGCTGGGGGAGGGGTGGGAGTCAGTGTTTCATGGGGACTGAGCTGCAGTTTGGGGAGATGGAAAGTTCTGGAGACAGATGGTGCGGATGGCTGCACAACAATGTGAATGTGCTTCACGCCGCTGAGCTGTGTGCTTAAAAATGGTTTCAATGGTCAATTTTATGTCATGCGTATTTTACTATAATAAAAAGATTGGGGGGAAAACGGGGTGTGTTTCTTTTAATTCCCACGCCAAGGATGAACCAATAGCTTCCCGGGCCCTCTTGCAGGCTAGACTGGTGGCTTTCCGTTCCTGCAATTAGCATGCTCATTATTAACCATGTATGCTAATTACAGATGAGGAAGAGGCTGATTACAGCCAAGAGCCACAGTGGTAGTTATCTTGTCAGCAGGCTCTCCCACCCCCTGAGGGTTTCCCCTGGCTCAGGACGGCTCTGTAAGCTCAGGAGGGACCCCCGATTTTTCCCTCCTTCAGAGGCTCCCCTGCCAGCTGCGTGGATTCCCCCTGGCTTTCCGCTTCCTTATGACTGTCAAGGAAATCCCAAATACTTGGAGGGTGGCCCGGAGCGCCAGCTTCACAAGGGAGAGGATTTCTCTGCTTTGCTCATTCAAAGACAGCACCTCCTATACTGTAGGCGCTCAATAAATTAGAATGAATAAATGAAGGCTGGGGGCATGGCAGAGACAGGACACGGATGGAGGGTGCCTTCTCTCCCGGTGCCTGACTTCTCTCATCTCCAAGTGGGTAATGGTTAGGACGTAGCATGCCCTCAATGAACGGCGCAGTGGCTGTCATCAATATCGTTTTCATTATGATTACTTTCTGCTATTCCTCATCAGCCCAGCCAGGCTGTGCTCACACCCCGTGAGCTTTGGGGTCTGCCCCGGGCCTCCGGGGGGCCGCTGGGGAAATGGGAGCCTGGAGGGGCTGAGCGGCACTGACCGGTCAGGGTGTACTCCGTCTGCCGGATGCCCTCGATCACCATCCAGGGCTGCTCCTCCTTCAGGCGGGGTGGGCCCTCGAAGTTGGTCCGCCGGTACTCCAGCACGTAGTGGTCAATCTTGCTGTCCTCGTCCGGCATGCGCCACACCAGGGTCACGCAGTTATCCGCCACCAAGGACTCGGCCAGGTCGATCACGGGGGTGCTGGGCACTGCCCGGCACAGAGGGGAGAGTGGGGTCAGGGTCCTGCACCCGCAGAGGTGGGGACCTCCCTGGGGCCCCGCTCGCAGGAGAGACCAACTTGTGGGAGGGGCCCCTTCAGGTTTTGGGGCCTGGGGGGGGTGGCGGGTGGAGCTTCCCAGGATTCCACCAAGGGGTTGGGGATGGGAAGAGCTTTCTCGGGGTTCAACCAACATAAGGGTGGGCCTTTTCAGGATTCCACCATTTAGAGGTGGCACACTTCCAGAATTCTCTACCCATTGGGGCGTGGCCTTCATGGGACTCCATCTCCGGTGGGTGGGGCCTTTTGGGGCTCTGGAACAAGGGGTGTGGCTTCCTCAGGGCTCCACCCATGGGTGTGGTTTTCTCATGACTCCACCCACAGGATGGGTGGGGGCATTCGTGTGACTCCACCCCCACAGGGGTGTGGCTTCCTCAGGGCTCCACCCAAGAGTGGAGCTTCCTTGTGGCTCCACCCACATGGGCAGGGCATCCTCACGACTCCACCCCACAGGGGGTGGGACTTCCTTGTGGCTCCGCCCACATGGGGTGGGGCATTCTCACGACTCTACCCACGTGGGTGGGGCTTAACCATGGCTCTACTCCCAAAAGCAGGGTATTCTCAGGTCTCCACCCCAGGGGCGGGGCCTTCTGGGGTTTCCACGCCTGGCTGTCAGCCTCACTCCAGGCCGTGTCTCGGGCCCTCTTAGACTCCCCGGCTGGTTCCCTGAAACCCTGGCCCTCCAGCGAGTTCCCCCCTCACCAGGCAGGAACTTGAGTGCCTGCAGCATCCGCCGCTCCTGTGCAAAGTCCACCATGAGGTGACTCATGTTGTCGCTGACCTTGGCTTTCAATGACAGCCGGAAGGCGGGGGCCATGGTCACACTGCAGCGAAGGACATGGAGGCAGCCTGCTGGCAGGCGTCTCGGGGGGACCCAGGCCTGGTCCTCCAAACTGTGTGGAGGGGACCCCCTCCCCCTTGTTCCGGGCCAAGGGACCCTCACCTGGGCGTCCCCACCTTCACACCAGGGGCGGGGCACTGGGGTGGGGGCCAGATCCCAGCATCTTACCCATCTTTGATTTGCTTGGCAGCCTAGAAAGAGGGACAGAAAAAAATCCAGAGTTGTCTCAACGGAACCAGAAGGCCATTATACAGACAGGGAAACTGAGGCTGGGCGTGGCAGCCGTCTGCCAGAGTCCCCGGGCACCGGGGCAGAAACCCTGCTGTTTCTTAGCGGTGCCCTGAAGGGACAGGCAGGCAAAGACAGGCCCCCGCCCCACTCCACCTCCTGCCCAGTGCCCAGTACACACGGTAGACCGATTTAGCAAATAAAAGTACAGCCATGCATCGTTTAATGACGGGGACCCGTTCTGAGAAATGTGTCGTCAGGCAACTCGTCGTTGTGCGAACATCATAGAGTGTGCTTGCACAAACCTAGATGGTACAGCCTCCTACACACCTAGGCTCCACGGTACTCATCTTAGGGGACCCCGTGGTCTATGCAGCCCGTCGTTGACCGACACGTCGTTACGCGGTGCATGACTGTGCAGGACACCCCGTGAAATTCGCGTTTCAGATAAACAATGAATGATTTTTTTTTTACTGTAAGTGTGCCCCATGCAACCTCTGGGATACACTTATACTAACTATGGCGTGGGCTAGACTTATCCTCCAACAGTACTCGTGGTTGACATGAGAGGCAAGCTTCACTGGGCGGCCCGTATTTTCTCTGGCCGCCAAGGTGCCCACCTGCGGGAAGTCCTTGCTGTCGGCGGCCTGCAGGGTCTGGTTGGCTGTCTCCAGAAGCTCCTCGGAGCTCTCCAGGGCCCGCGTGCAGGCAGCCAGCTGGTTCTGCGGGTGACATGGCACTGAGGGAGGGCCACCTCATCCCGCAGCCCCAATCCCTCTCAGGGCTCTGGGCCACCTTTGGGATTCAGGGGACCACGCCCTTCTCGAACTCCAGTGGGGACAGGAAGGATGGGGGGGGCGGCACCTTGCTCCTGGCAGCACCTCAGAATCACTCGGGCATCCCTTCCTTAAAAAGCCACGTGCCCAGGCCACACCTGAGCCCCCAGGCTACACCTGAGCCCCCAGGCTGCGCATTCCCCCAGGAGGGGCACCTGGGAGGTTAGGAAGCTGCCCAGGAGGTTGTGGTGCAGCCTGTGGGACCCCAGCTTGGAGTCTGAGACCCCGTGGGAGCTATGGGAGGTGTCTGAGCGGGAGTGATACTGTCAGATCTGGGGGACCTGTGAAAGGGCTGGGAAATCGGAGATGCTGGGTGAGGACGGGAGGGGAGGAGGGGTCAGATGTGGGGGCGGGGCCGTGGGGACGGAGAGGAGGAGGTGGATGCGAGAGGGGGTTAAGAGGGAGAACAGGTGGGTGGGGGTTGATGCGCCATGGCCGGGGAGGGGCCAGGGAAGCGGAGGCGAGGCCTACACCGTGGAGGCGTCTGGCTCCGGACACTGGAGACACTTGGGGGCATCTCCCGAAAAAGGGAGGGAGGAGGAGGAGGTCTGGAGGAAGATGCCGAGGCCAGCTGGGCTCCGTGGAGTCTGAGGGGCGCCGTGGGGGGCGGCATCTGGGCGACTCCCCCGCATGCACACCTGCAGCTCATAGGTGCGGCTGGCGCGGTCCTGCTTTATCTTCATGAGCATGCCCTCCTTCAGCTCCTCCAGGACAGAGAAGAGGGACAGGAACTCCGCCTCCAGGTCCTCCTGCACCTTGGCCGAGTTTCCCTTGGAGAGACATAGCGGGGTTGGAGCGGCCAGCATCGGCCAAAGCCAGTGCTCAGATGGGGAAACTGAGGCCCGGACACGGCAGCCAGGCCCAGAGTCCCACGGGCAGCAGCAGCAACAGGCCGACGTCTATGTCTGCCCCTCCCTCCCTCCCTCCCTTCCACCCACCTGCCCCAGACGCCCCCTGTCTCCCTCCTGGGCGGGGGTGGGGGGGCCTTGCTCACCTCCACATTCAGGAGCATCTGCTTAAGGGAGTAGATGAAGCTCTGAATCTCCTCGTTCTTTACGGCCAGCGTCGTGATGATCTTCCGAAGAGCCTCCTGCCCCCATGGGAAGCACACACACGTGCACACACGCACATGCACGGCCGGTCAGCCCCTCCGCCCGGCCCAGCTCCCCCACCTGGGGCTCCCCGCCATGCCCTCCACGGATCCACAGGAGATGTGGGCCCACCGTGCCAATGGGCTTGGGCATCTGCCACGAGGCAGGCCCTGGGCCAAGCTCCGCCCCGCGTCCCCTCGCCTAGCAGGTGGGCACCACGAGCACCCCCATTATACAGGGGAGCAAACTGAGGCTCCTAGAGAGGGACACCCTGGGCCTGCGCACAAAGCCTCCAACCAGGTAGCTATATCCCGAGGTGGGGGCTAGATCGAGGTGAGGGGCTAGCCTGGGGAAAGATGAAAATGGTACCTGCAGAAAATGGGCTAATCTGGGGAAGGGGACCCCTGGGAAGAGGCATTAGCAAGGAGAAGGGAGGAACTCGAGGAAACGGAGTGCTGAAGAGCCCAGGTAGGGGGGAGCAGGAAGGGTGGGCTGGGGAAGGGGATGCTGGGAGGGAGGGCAGCGGCAGGGGAGGTTCCTGCTGGCGCCTGTAACTCTGACCCAGGCCTCACACAGGTCCCTTTTCCCGGGGCGCAGGATCTGCGGGGTCACCTGTGCTGAGCTGGCGGGGCGTCCTCCGGGGCTGGGCGGGGACCAGGACACCTGGTCCGCAGTCCGGATCCGAGGGGTGGGGGATGGGGTCAGGTCTGGGTCCGGGTTACTGGGCGGGGGTGAGGGGCATGGAGGGGGTGCGCCTGGAGCCAGGCCAAGAGGATGAGGGGTCCGGGCGAAAGTGGGGGGCTGCGTCCCGAATGGGGGGCTAGACCCGGGCGGGGTTGCGGCGGGGGGGGGGGCCTCGGCTGCAGAGCCGCGGGGGGTGGGGGGGGGGCGGGGAGGGCGCTGCGGCATCACCTGGTCCCCTCCCCTTGTCCACCCCCGCCGCGCGCCCCGCCCCGGTCCTACCCTCTGGTCCTCCATGGCTGCAGCCCAGGTCGTCCCCGGCCCGGCCCGCGGGCCCCACTCGCTCTTCTAGTCCCCAAGCTGCCTTTGCCGCGGCCGGGAGCCAATGGCCCGCCGAGCCCACGCCGCCGCCGCCGCGCCCCCCGTCTGCGCTCCATCACTGGCCTCAGTGCGCAGGCGCGTCCCCCGCGGCAGGCTGGGAAGTGTAGTCCCACGCTGGGGTCGCCGAGCGCGGGCACCCCCAGAGCCTGAGGCCCACCAGGGGACATTGGTCACGATGTCTGAGCTGGAGAGAGCCCAGAGCTGGGAGGCTGGGAGCCTGAGTTCGACCCCTGGCCCTGCCATGTGACCTGGAGCCCCTCCCTAGTCCTCCTGGTGCCTCAGCCTCCATCCCGGCTTGTTCACCCACTGGCTGCTCAAACTGGAATTCTACCCCCCGGCCCCGGACGTCTGGACCCTGACTGCTCACACGCTTGCGTTTACTGAAAAGCCAAGGCCTTCGCCCAAGCAGATGTACAGCCCCCAATGCCTTCTTTCTTTCCCCTGCAGCACACCTGAACTCCTACACATCCCACAAAACCCCAGGCTCTAACATCTCCTCCGGAAGTCTCCCTGCCAGCCCAGAATTCACAGGGCTGGAAATATCTGTGTCCAGCTCTGTCTTCCGGTCAGCCCGCGGCTGAATCTATCCAGGATCTCCAGCACTGCCCCTCGGCAGTGGGCAGGGGGAAGGGTGGAGCTTCGGAAAGTCCTGCAAAGTCTGAAAGAGGGGGAGGCTGGGAAGCTGGGTGTGTCTGCTGGGGTGGTGCCGTCAGAGAGCCACCGCACAGGCCTCCCTGTGGTCGACAGGGATGATTCTGCGAAGGACACAGGCCTTCTTCCGTCTGGGTGAGAAAAGAGGTCACACTGTGGTTGGGGGTGAGCCATTGAGGCCGAGGGCTACTGCCGGCTGTGGGGTGATGGGTGCAGGGCTGAGAGCAAGTCCAGAGCCTGGGACTACCCTCAACTGGGCCCCCAAACTTCTCCCCAGGCCCTGGGGGCAGGGAGCCCCCCATACCTGTCGTGAGACCCGCAGCCAGCAGCAGAAATGCCTTCCTGTGGACTCAAAGGAAGCTGTTTGGGGCAACATCACTGTAGCTGGGGTTCCGCTGTTCAGTGCGCCCCCTGGCCTTCCTACGTGTCCCCCCAGCCCTGGCATGTTTATGTAGAGTCTTCCAGAAAGATTTCCACTCACTGGGACCCATTATGCCCATTCACACATTCATACTGCTTTTCGGATGAAAAACGACAAGGAGAACTCTGGGGAAACTGAGGCACAAGGTAGCAGGAAGAGGCACCCCGAGCAGCATTGGCCACCGGACGTCTGCTGTCTGGCTGGGGTGTCGCATCTGCTTCTGTGGCGGGGGGCGGAGACTGCGGCAGGAAGTCTGTCGAATGGCAAGGGGCGGGGGGTGGGGCGCCAGCCAGGAGAGGGGGCCTGGTGGGCCAGGAATGGGGCCCCTGCGCACGGCGCTGGTCCTTCTGGGGCCGCTCTGGGGTGAGTACGTGGGGTCCCTCCCCTCTGCCCCCACCCCCTGCTGTCCATCCCCCAAGCTGCCCGCCCGCCTGCTCAGATCCCCTCTAAACTGTCATCTTTCCGCTCGGCCCACCGGGGCCCATGTCTCTCCTGAGGGTTGAAGGCGTCCAGCCAGGGTCCTCAGAGGGGGCCCCTAGGAGAAAATTCAGACCGTGGCCTACAAACCAGTCTTAGGTGACCTGGCCCCGCTGGCTTCTCTCATCTCCACCCGCCTCTACCTGCCCTCTCTCCCCCATGACCGGCCTGCTGGCTCATCTTTCTTTTCTTTTTTTCCCCAACACATCAAGCTTGATCCTGCCTCTGGGCCTTTGCACCTGCTGTTCCCTCTGCCCAGAACACTGTTCCCTGGCTCTCGTCTCTAGCATCAGCTGCAATTCCATCTCGATGCTGGGAACAGGGCACAAACTCACCCCTTCTAGGGGGGCTGGTGTCTAACAGGCACCCAGATGTCTCATGGCCAAAAGCAAACTTTTTTTCCACTCCAGCCCTGCTCCTGCCTCAGTTTCCCGCATCTTGGCCCAAAGTCACGGCCGTTCGCACAGTCCCTTGGGCTAAAACCTTGGCAATGCGCCACCATCTCTCTTCCTCTCTCCCAATTCGGTGCTTCTTGTGGTTTTTCTAGGGGGCAACTTCGAGATCTGGTCAGACTCTGGCCCCCTCTCTCCTCGGTCGGGCCCCCGTTCCTGCTCTCCTGGGCCCTCTTGTCCCCACAGCCTCTGATCCCCCCACCTCGTAGTCTGTTCTCACCGCAGCAGTCAGGATGGTTTTTTTAAAACTTAAATCGGCCCCTGTTTCCTCCTGCCCTGCTGGTTTCCCATCACAGATTAAAAAGCAAACCGCCCCCTTTCCCCACCTCCACCCCCGCACCCCCAACCACACCCGACCCCTGTGGCCTGCTGACCAACCCCTGCTGACCTCTCTGGTCCCACCTCCTCCCTCTGTCCCCCTCGCTCCCTCTGCTCCAGCCACACAGGCCTCCTCGCTGTTCCTTGCACACACCAGGCACAGTCCTGCCCCAGGGCCTTTGCATGGGCTGTTCGCTCTGCCTGGAACGCTCTTCCTCCATAGCTTCCTTCCTTCCCACAACTGGCTGCTTCTTAACAGTCAGAGTCCCGTTCAAATGTCGCCTCCTCCGAGAGGCCTTCCCTGACCACCCTCTGTGAGTAGATTCCCTGCCACCTCATCGTTTCCCTCTATTGCCACTCCCCGTTCCTTTCCTCCATCACGATTCTCCGTTCGCGACTTGCTGTGTGTCTCCCTCTCCCGAGCCTGTCGGCCCGCCGAAGGCAGGGATTTTTCTGTGTCTTGGTCACCTCTATGTCTGTGTCCACGGCGGCCTGGCACACAGGGAGCGACATTTGTGCGGCTGAGAGCTGGGCAGTCACAGGGTCCAGCTTGAAACCTCCCAAGTGCCGAGAGTTACATCCGTTTCGCAGATGGGGCCACTGATGTCAGCGAGGAGGCGTGACCTTGCACAGATGCCACACACAGCAAGCTTCCACACCTGCGGGCTCGCTGGGGGCGTCAGTCACACACACACACACACGAGAGACGCTCATTCACCTTTTTTGTCCCCAGCCCTGCGAGCAGCCGCAGGCCTCGCCGTGCTTCAGGAGCCCCGCTTGCTGCAGGTGCGGCAGGAGAGCGAGGTGACCTTGACCTGCCAGGTGGTGCAGGCCCAGGCCTGGGAGCGACTCCGCGTGGAGTGGCTCAAGGATGACGCCAGCCTGTGCCAGTCATTCATCTCCAACAGCAGCCTCAGCCTGGGGGGCTGCGGGCCCCGGGGATGGCTCTCCTGGTGGCCGCCTGGCACTGTCACCCTGCGGCTGGCCAGCGTGAGCCTCAACGACAGCGGGCGCTACGTGTGCTGGGCGGCCACGGAGATCCCAGAGCTGGAGGAGGCTGAGGGCAGCGGAACGCAGCTCCTGGTGGACACAGGTATGGGGGCGAGTGGGAGGAGGCAGCCCGGGACTTGGGACTTCGAGGATCTTAAGACTGTCCCTTCTCAAGTTCCTAGAAGCAGAAACTCTAACTTCTTCACATCAGATTCTTGGGAATAGGAATCCTGCCAAGTCGAGATCAAATTCTAGAATCAAGAACCAAAGATGTGCTGGAACTTAAGATTCTAGACCAGGGCTCAGCCAACTTTCTCTGTAAAGGGCCACAGAGGAAGCATTTCCTGCTCTGTGGGCCACATGAGCTCCGCTGCGACGTAGCCGGAAAACCACCCTGGGCTGTGCATCTGGGAATGGGCAGGGCCGCGTGCCAATAAAACTTTATTTAAAAAACACAAGCAGGGGGCCACATTGGGTCCACGGGCTGGAGTTTGCTGAGCCCTGTTCCAGAATATCACACTCATCCAGACTCTTGATATGTATAATTCTGGAGTTTGGGTTAAAAACGATTCCAGAATCTTTTGTTTTGAAAATGTGTTATGAAAGTGTATTCTGCCTACAGAGAAACGCGCCTATCCTAAGTGGCCAGCTCCATGATGTCTTGGTCCTTTTGGGCTGTTATAACAAAAGATTGTAAACTGAGTGGCTTATACAACAGAAATGTTTCTCGTCCTTCTGGAGGCTGGAAGTCCCAGATCAGACCCGGCGTGGTGACGTTCTGGGGAGGACTTTCTTCCTGGTTCATAGACGCATCTTCTCGCTGGGATGGAAGGGACAAGGGAGCTCTCTGGGGGCCTTTTTTTAAGATCACTAATCCCACTCACGAGGGCCCCCCCCTCACGGCCTCATCACCTTCCAAAGGTCCCACCTCCTAACACGATCATATTGGGGCGTAGGAGTCACCATAGGAATTTGGGGGCACACAGACAGACTGCAGCCATGAATTTTCACAAGCTGAGCACACCCACGTGCCACCACCCGGCTCGAGAAACCCAGCCCCCTCCCAGTTACCATCGTTGTGTCCCCTCGTGGATACCAGCACCCCCCACCGCCATCTTGCCTGCCACTGGCATCGATCTGTTTTTCCTGGCTTCATACTTTACTTAAATGGAATCATAGAGTATATTCTCTTTGTGTCTGACTTCTTCCACTCAGCGTGAGGTCTGGAAGATTCGCCCGTCTCCGTGCGTGAGGCAGAGATTCGTTCCTTTTTCCTTGCTGTAGACTATTCCATCGCATGCGCCACCGCCATCGATCAACCCAATTTCCTGTTGATGGGCGCTTGGGTATCTTCTGGGTTCGGGCTATCCTGAAGAAGGCTGCTAGAAGAATCTAGAACTTGTCCTTTGGTCAACATACGTACACATTTCTGTTGCACCTAAGACAATTCTGGAATCTTGAACTGTAAAATAGAATCTCGCAATTGTAGGATCCTGGGGACATGAAATCCTTGGCTCCTAGAATGACAGCCTTCACCCACAGTGGGGAATATTGCTCCTAAGGAGGTAAAAATTGGTTCGGGGAGCAAAGAAAACCTTATTCTTTTTCTGTGTAAAGTACAGAAATGCAGATGGTACATAAACAGATCCACAGTGTATCTGGGGCATTAAAATTTCATAGGGGAACAAAAGAATATTTTTAAAATGTCTCCTTAGGGGGCTGATAATGAAAAAGGTTGAGAAACACTGAAATAAAGGAAAGGATGATTCTAGAATCTCAGAACTGCAGTATCTTAAATACTTTAAATAGATGGCCTCTTAGAATTTTACCATCTCAGAGTCAGAGCAGAGAATTCTGGAATCCAGAGTTGAAAGCCATTGATTCTCAAAGCCAGAAGGAACTTTCCAGATCAGCTGAGCAGCTGCCTTGTTGTACAGATGAGGACGCTGAAGCCCAGAGGGGGCCCAGGTGTGTCCAGGTTGCACCCAGCCAGGGATGCACCCGGTTTTCTCGAAAGCCCGGCTCACCCACTGCCCCCACTCTGCATGACACCCCCTTATGGACCAAACCCTGCGCGGGGAGGGGGGCACCCCAGCCGACCCAGGTGGGGGTCTCCTGTTGTCTCGCTGCTTCCTGACTCCTCGGGGGCTCTCGGGGGGCAGGGAGCACCGCCCCCACGCCCAGCCCAGAAAGATGCCCATTCCTCCAGCTGGCAGGACCCGCCCGCCGCCTGCCTCCGGGGCGGTGTGTTTTGGCTGTTCTGCCCACCACCCACCCCTCTAGCGACAAGAGGGCCAATTACCAATTAGCAGAAGCGGGATGCGGAGGCGTCAGTCTGGGTGGCGTTGGCAGCTGCGACAGAGTGGGCGGGCCTGGGCCCAGCTCCACACAGCTGGCTTCCCCACCCCCACCCCGGGGCTGCTGGCAGCCCTGCCAACTTTAGAACCTGCAAGATGAAGGGGTCGGGGACTCTGGGCCTCATCTTGGTCCCAGCAGAAGGAGGCTTTGGCTGGAGTTCAGTCAGTTATACAGACCTGGAAACACATGCCCGCTCTGCCATTCACTCACTGTGTGACCTTGGGCCAGTAACTGAACTCCTCCGTGCCTGTTTCCTTAGCTATCAAAATACGGCTAATAATGCTTTCCTCGTTGGGTTACGTGAATTTAAAGTGTTTCTGTCTAACGAGTTTATCACAGGGTCTGGATCCTAGTAAGTCCTCAATAAACATAAGTGGTTATTATTATGTCTGTGATGCTGCTCATCCAGCAAGACTCGAATGTTCAGGCCAGCGTAAGGAGCGGGGAGCTGAGATGAGCAGTGCCTTTGTTCAAAGCAGTGCCTAGCTGTTGCCCGGGTGTGTGACCCCAGGCAAGTGACTCAGGCTCTCTGAGCCTCAGTTGCCTTGTATATGAAATGCGCTTGGCACAGAGTAGAGGCTCAAGAAACAAGGAGCCATGAGGATGATGGATCCCATGACTAGGATGATGGAACTCATGGTGGGGATGATGAGGCTCATGATGAGGAAGCTGGAGCTCAAAATCAGGATGATGGAGCTCATGATGAAGGTGATGGAGCTCAAAATAAGGATGATGGAGCTCATGACCAAGGTGATGGAGTTCACGATGAAGGTGATAGGGCTTATGGTGGGGATGACAGAGTTTGTGATGGGGATGGTGGAGCCTGTTATGGGGGTGATGGGGCTCATGACAAGGATGGTGGAGCTCACAGTGGGGATGATGGAGGTCATGATGAAAAACCCCAGTTGGCGGTTATTCCACAATAATCCAGCAAGATAGGAATGGTTAGTGTCATTTTGCGGAAGAGGAAACACCCACCCGCCCGAACTCACACAGCATGGCGGGGGCAGGAACCCTGAGGTCCCACATGGGGTGGGGGGGCTCTCACCGTGAAGGGTGCAGGAGGCCGGGCTTGAAGGCGAGCACCCCCGAGACACACGTTTCTTCTCTGCAGATGACGGGCCACAGAAGCCGATCCCCAGCATCACAGGTGAGCCCCGCCCGCGCGGCCCTCCTCCAGCCCCGCCCCCGCCCCGCGCCCCGCCCCCGGTCACACCGCCCCCTCCCCATCTCCCCAGGACGACACTTGGCGCTGCTGGTGGCGGGGAGCGCGGCCCTGGTCGTGACCGCGATCGCGCTGGGCGCCTGGATCTGGGGCCGCCGCCGCTGCGGGCACAAGGACGCAGGTGAGCGCGCAGGTGGCCGCGCGGGGGGCAGGCGGTGCCCGCAGGTGCCGCCCTCCGCTGGCGGCCGCGCCCTCGCGTGGCGGAGGCGGGAACTGCAGCCGGGGCGGCGTCCCCGAATCTGGCCGTCCCACCTGCCGCTTCTGGAAGGAGGGAGGGCGGGGCTGCGGGGCGGAGACCGGGACTAGATGCAGACGGTGGCCGCTGCGCGCACGGTTTCCGGACGCACAGACAAATTCCTTAGAGGTGGGCTGCGGGGGGCCAGGCCGTCCTCAGTGTCCCCTCTTGGGCGGTGTCGTCCCTCCCTCCCCCCCCCCCCCCCCCCCCCGCAGGGAATCAGCTGTACGGCAACGTCCTCTACCGGCCCCGGGGGGCCCCAAAGAGGACCGAGGCATCGCCGGCGGAGGGGAAGGTGCTGGACACCCCCAGGGAGGCCCGGAAGGCTCAGAGCGTCTATTCCGTCTCTTTCCCTCGGCCCCCCACCCCCCAGCGGCGTCTGGCCCCCAAATCTTGCCCCAGCCCCAGGCCCACTCATCTCGTCTCTACGGTCAGAGTCCCCCCTGACCTAGGTCCCTTTGGGCAACGAAGTCCAAGAGGGTTCCTTGAAGTGGGAAGAGGAACCGGAGCCCCCGGAGCCCCAGAGAGGACCCCAGTGGCCAGGTGAAGATGTGACTGATTCCAAGGGGGTCCGGGAGGCCAGCGGTCCTTGCTGGGACCCCCCCGCCCCCGTCCTCATCTCTGTGACGCTGGACCTCTCCTTGCCCCAGAACACTCAGTAAAGGCGCGCGAAGAAAGCAAAGCCAGATTTTGTGGCGATTTGGGGGTGCTACAGAGATTTGGGGGGCCATCTGGGGGTGCCAGGGCCCCCAGGGATGGCTGGAGAGCTCCACTGTGGCGAAGGGGCTCTGTGACGACTCGCCAGCGCCCCCCTCTGATGCTCGGAGAGACACGTCCGATTAGCAGAGAATGGATGGATGCCCGCAGCCTCCAAACAGAGCCCGGAGCTGGAGGCAGCCCCTCCCCAGCTGGCGTGTCCCCGCACCCCCCACGCAGACACGCTTGGAGGTGGGGGGTGAGGGGGGGGACATCGGGGCTCCCTGGCATTTATCAGCCCCCTGGGTCTCCTGCCCGACTGTCACCTTGAAGTGACACCAGCCGGGCCCGGCTCCCCTCCCCCACTGCTCTGTTACCATGGGGACAGATGTCCTTTCTGCAGCGGCGTCAGGCCGCGCTGCCCGCCCCGATGGGGGGGAGGGGCCGCGTGGGGGCGGGGCTGGCCCGGGAGCCTCGCCCCTCAGTTTCTCCATCATTTGTAGCTGCCGGTCTCCGCTGTGTCCGGGTTTTCATCAGCCTCCATACCTCTCTCTCCCTGCCCCTCTCCAGCTCTCTGAGTTTTTGGTCCCTCCCTGTGAGCAGCTCAGCCTCCCACGCCGGCTCTGTCCCCAATACGAGGAGCTGGGGACCCCCTTCTCCCTCCAAGGGTCCGTCTCCCTCTTCCCAGATAAGACACTTGAAACACACAATAACTTATTTATTTTCTACACCAGCGGGGGCCTTCGAGACACAGCTCTGGGCCCTGGACCCAGAAGGGGGCTGAGACGGGGGTTCTGATGAAGACTCATGGGTGGGAGGGGTAGGGGGTCCCGCCGTATGGCCTCCTCCAGGAGTAGAAAGACCTCCAGTGTTTGCAGCCGGTGGTTCTGGGCCCTCACCGCCCAGGGCCAGGGGCTGAGGCTCCCGGTCAGGGGGTCTGTGTGCCCACCGGGTACAGCAGGGCCAGATGCTCTGCGCCCTGCACGGGCAGGGGACGGGAGCTGTAATGGAGCACCAGCTCCGACACGCTGGCGAAGGGACCGCTGTGCTGGCCCAGCACAAACTGGTTCTCTCGGGTCCGCGCGAACTTCAGATGCAGAAAGCCCTGGCTGCTCCTGGGGGACACAGGGGGCCTTGAGCACCCCAGACCTGCTCTCCACCCCCAAAGCCACCACCCCCCCATCGCCTCCAGGAGCAGGGGCTGACATCCCCAAGTACTTCTGGTAAATAGCCACTTGGTGCCAAGCGGTTGGCTTGTCCCACACTGTCTTCCTTGCTTGGGACCCTAAGGAGGCAGCTGGAGGCCCTGCATGGTGGGGGTCCCTCCCGGGGACACGGACTGGACTTTCTCTCTCGATCTCTTGTGCCACCCCTCCTGGGCCCCCCACTAGTTAGCCCCCAGTTTGAGGTCCCTTTCCTTTCTCTTCATCTCGGGTGGGTGGAATGACCTAGAACCTGGAGATCGCTCTGTCATCATCATTCATATGAATTAAGCACTTCCTGTCTCCTGGGCACTATTCTCAACATTTTCTCACATAGTTTTTTCATCTCCTCATTGCAGTATTAGCACAAACTTGGTGCTAGCTAGTGTTATCCTCGTTTTACAAGTGAAGAAACTGAGGCCCAGAGAAGCTGAGTCACTCAGCTAGGGTCACATAGCTAGAAAGTGGCAGAGGCAGGATTTGAACCGGCGTCCGAGCCCTCTTCCCATCTTTTCCTTTGAGGAATCACATACTCAGATGCCTAATACAATCGTAGGAGCGGTTTATAATCAGACACACTTAGAATCTCAGGCAGAGAGGTGGGCAGAACCGAGGTCTCAAACTCAAATGCCTCCAGGGCCATTCTGAGATTCTGGCCCCCGACAGACACAAATGGATATACTTCAACTTTTGGACTCGGAGTGGGGGGGGGTCCGAAGAAACCTCGGAAACGTAGTTCCCCATCTCACCCAAGGCCTAGGTCTACTGTATGGCTTCCACTCCATCTTTTTGCATACCTCCGGCGACAGGGAGCTCATTCCCAGATGGAACCATGATGGTGACCTCCCTGGAAGCTCCATCCTCTGGTCCTATAAGCCCCACCCATTGGCCTGGAAGCCCTGCCCATCGGTCCCAGAAAGCCCGACCCACTGGTCCCAAAGCCCCGCCCCTGGCTTGGAAGCCCCGCCCACTGGCCACAAAGCCCCACCCCTGGCCTGGAAGCCCCACCCATCAGTCCCGGAAACCCCACCCACTGGTCCCAAAGCCCCTCCTGGCCTGGAAGCCCGGCCCACTGGTCCCAAAGCCCCCCATGGCCTGGAAGCCCCGCCCATCAGTCCTGGAAACCCCACCCACTGGTCCCAAAGCCCCACCCCCTGGCCTGGAAGCCCCACCCACTGGTCCCAAAACCCCACCCCCTGGCCTGGAAGCCCTGGGGCCTCTCCCCTCTGCTCCCACTGAATGAACCCTATAGCGGGACGCATGCAGTCCTGTGACTCTGTCCCTCCAGGGGGCTGGGGTCTCACCTGAGGGACAGGGAGCAGTCCTGGGGGCTGGTCTCGCTGAGCCGCACCAGGTAGCTGCCTTCCTTGCAGAGCGACAGGAGGCTCTCGGCATCCGCCCTGCTCAGGGGGCCGTGAAACCACCTAGGGGGCGGGGACAGACGTGTCACGATGGGCGAGCCCCCTTCGCACACACCTTGGGGTCGGGGGCAGGCAGGGTCGCTCCAAGGCCTTGTGACATCCGGGCAGACAAGAACAATCCCCTTGGGTTTCTCCTCAGGGCCGGGGTCTTCCCCAGGGGGCAGCTGCTTCTCCTTCCAGCGTTCTCTGCAGACGAACCAGCGCGAAGTCCCCGTTCCTCAGCCAGTTCCGCGTGGCCCGCCTGAGGGGCCTGCGGACGGCTGTGATCAACACGCCCTGTGCCCACCAGGCCCGGCTCAGCGGGGTCAGGGCGGTCCTCGAGGAGCTCCCAGGCTGGAGGGACACGGAAGACCCAGACCCCTCAGCTTGGGGGCCGCACCCTAGCCCAGAGTTGGGACCCCTTCAAAATCCTGCTCCCCCCAGTTCCATCCCAACATTTCCTGGGGGGAGGGGAGAATGACTTTGATCCCTATGCTCCCAGGCTTAAAAGCCCCGCTCAAGTGAAGAGAGGAATTCTCCTTTTACTCTATTTGAGCCAGGCACCATCTGGGGGGTTTTGAGCCCGAGGTTCGGAGAGGTTCAGTGACCTGCCCAAGGTTGCACAGCCAGGAGATGCAGAGCTGGGGTTTGAAGCCAGAGTCTGATGCCAGAGGGAGCCAGACTCCATCTGATTCTGCTTTGCTCCTAGCTGGGCGGCTGGCAGTGCAGGGGGCACCCAGCGAGGAGTAGTGGAAGGAATGAATGAAGGGAGTGAATGAGCCCCCCCTAGTTAAGGACTCTGCAGCTGGTCTGGGCTCTTCCGTCTGCAGCTTCCCCACTCACGGCTGTTTCTCCAGGGGCAGGGCCGCGTCCACGCGCTCCGCGGGCTGGGGGCTTCTGGGCGGGGGTCTCCGCAGCTCCTTGGCGGAGCCCGAGGTCCTTTCCCACTCCGGACTGTCGAACTGCACTGGAGGGGGCGGGTTAGAGAGGAAAGGGTTAAGTCCCGCCTACCTGAGAGGGGCGTGTCAAGGGCTAGCCAATGGACTCTCAGGAGGGAGGCGGTGCCAGCTTGAGGCAACCTATCAGAATCCAGAAGAGGAGGGGCCGGGCTTAAGGCTGGGGCAGGATTGGTGCCGCCAACTGGCCTTCAGAAGAAGGGAGGGCGTGGTCTTTCGTAAATCTGCATAGGAGGGCGGGGCAGTTCCCTAAGTGACAAATCCGAGAGCAGGGGGCGTGGCCAGAGGGATGGGTTGGCCGTTCAGCCAGATTCTGGCCAAATCATCGAGCTGGAAAAACACTCCTAATATACAGACAGGTAGACTGAGGCCCGAGCCCCAACTCCCCTCCCGCTTCTGGGGCAAAGTTGGCTTTGCACAACTCTTCCCGCCCCAAGTCATTTTATTTCTTTATTAAAGCAGGCCTCGTTATTACCACTTTTATAGAAGAGGAAACCGACGGTCAGAGACTTATCCAAGCTCACCCAACTGGCTCAGGAATTGACCCCAAGTCCACCTAATGACAGCTACTAAGCAATGCTACCCTCTCCCCCGAGAGCTTCCATGCAATTGAGCCCTTTCTAGCATTCAATTTACAAGCACCTGTTGGCGGATACTAAAGTGATGCCCATTTCACAGGTAAGGGAACTGAGACTCAGAGAGATAATAGTCTGACACTAAAGCCCATCCCGGCACTATACTGAACAGAGCGAGCAGGCTCCATTGTGCTCTAAAAGCGACTTCAGCTTCCAAGGAAGAGGAATTTATGACTATCAGTCATTCACACTTTAGTGAGAATTAACAAACTCCCAATGTGGCAGATGATTGTGGTTTACTCTGTAAGTTGAAACAGGGGACGTGGGACCAGAGCAGGAAATAGAGGGAGGCGGGAAGTGAGAGGTCAGGGCCGGGGTGGGAGAAGCACCTGCGAACGCCTTGGAGATGTGATCTTTCTTCCACTCCCAGGGCTGGTCATACTCATCGGCGGGCCGTTCATCCTCCGGGGGCAGCCGGCTCTGTCGAGGCCTCCGCCCGGAAGGAGGCCCGTCCCCCGGCTCTCGGTCCTGCTCCTCGTAAGGAGTGTCGTACAGCTGCACCCCTCTGCACGGCAGTTCTGGGAGGCCGAGGACATTGTCAGCTCCCACTCCCGCCCGGGACCCAGTGCCCTTCCCCCAAGCCCCGCCCACTCACCGCTCACGACCCACTGGGCATCGTAGGGCTCCATGTAGCCGTCATCCGGGGGTGGCGGGTGGGGCTGGGCATCGAAGGGGTCCGAGTACTCGGTGTCACCTTCTGACTGGAGAGAGATGGAACGGAAGGGGAGGGGCTCAGGGGGACCTAGCCGAGCTCTGGATACCCCCTGCTGGGCGACGGTACAGCCCTGCCTGCCCTCTCTGGGCCATCTGACACATCCCCCCAAGCAGCTCTTTTTTTTTGGAGGCGGGTAGGGAGCCCCTGCAGACAGATGCCAGCGTCCCTTGCTTTCTGGCTCTGTGCCCTTCAGATTGTCCCGGGTGCAGAGCCGCGATCTGTCCTTCACTAATTTTCATGTTTATCAGCTGCCCGCACTGTTCTAAATATTTACCCATATTTACTAGCGGTACCAACACTCAGTGAGAACATTATCCCCATTTTACAGATGACGAAACCAAGGCACAGAGAGGGCGAGTGACTTGCTCAGGGCCACACAGCTGGTGAGTAAGAGGCAGGGTTTGACCCCATGGTGTCGGCTTCCTCCTCCCGCCTCTCTGTGCTTTTAGCCACCGCCCACACAGCCTCTCCTAATCCTCTTCGAGTCCTTGTCTGGAACTGGGGGTTTGGGCTGCACCGGGACCCTCTAGAAAGATACGGAAGAAGACACGGGCGGCGGAGGCAGGGCTGGGTTCAAACGCTAACGAGCTAGGGCCCTGGGGCCCCGGGCGGGTGGCTTCTCTTCTGCCAGCCTCAGTTTCTACTTCTGTCAAATGGGAGTAACCACCCAGGAAGGGCAGAGAGCAGGGGGGAGGGTGCTTCTGTGCATGGAGGGGAGGGCCTGGC